TTTGTCTGTAGATTGCTGCTGCTGCTTCAACAGTGCGAACAATGCGAATTCGTTAAGTCCATTCGTCTGTCTTTTTGTTCATTGATTCAACTTTTTTCTTCTCTTACAAAATTTTTTTTCCAATTTATCTCTTCTTTTTCCTTTCTTTTTTTTTGTCCTTCTGCTTCCTCTCTCAACTCCCTCACATCTTCCTTCTCTCTCTCTCTATCTCTCTCTCTTTGTACCTTTTTATTTCCACCATTCGACTTTAGAAAAGTCTTTTTCAAACGAATGCGGCACAAAAGTAAATACTAGGCAGAAAAAAGAAAAACACCTTGAAATATGATCGAAGAAAAAAAAAAAGATGGAACTAAATTTATGATAGTTTACTTACAAAAATTAATCCATGCAAAAGGGTTGAAAGCAAATGCATTTTTAAAAAATGATATATAATTTGTGGTATTTTTTTTCTTACATTTATTTATGCGAAAAAGGATATAAAAGATGACAAAGAAAGAACCGTATAACTGTAAAATAGCTTTGGCAGTAACAGCAGCCTATGTCTTTGGTACAGTTAAGCCATATTTAAACTTAAAATGACGTGTGCTTAGGCTGAATAAAGTACAAATAAATGAGGTGCTGTTGGTTGCCACTGCTGCAAAGTGCCATTTTGGGCTGAGCACACCAACTAGGATCAATGGATCATATGCTATCTGAACGACCATTCCATTTACATTTATTTCTGTTTTCCTGACCTGATTAATGCTCATTTTTTTTTTTTTGTAATGTCGCTTTCTTTTTTGCCACATCATCAAGTAGTTGGAAGAAACGAAAAATTGATTTCTAAAACTGAAGAAATGTAATTGCAAAATGCAACTGCACAACTAGAGAAATGACCTAAGATTTCAACAGCGGGAAGGAAGATAGGAATTGTTGTGGAGAAGATGATCCATGCAATTATGTTATTCGAGCGTCTTTTCGTAAACACTCCTGAAATTCATTTTACATTTGTAAGCTGTTCGTCATATGTGTGTAAATGTTGCAATTATTTTTTATTTGCTGTTTGTTAAACCACTTTTATTATATTACATTTTTCTGGACTTTTTAGACATAAAAAATATAAACGTTTTTGAGAGGAATAGAAGGGTAAAGTTACCGGATGTTTGGTATTTAACGAGAAACAATGTCTTGTAATTAAGGTAACCTAAGCTAGAGATGCTCGTATAATTTGTAGTGATTACAACTGACCACTTTAACTTCTGATCACTAAATTTAGTATAACTAAATAACCCCTTAGCGCTTGATTTTTTAAATAGTCGTTTTCTCTCGAAAACCATCAATAAACAATCTTGATCAGGCAACTTCAGCAATATTAGTGTCCTTCAACTAACCCTTAAACTAAATGCTCTCAAATACTGAAAAAGTATATAGAATTAATAGCATATGCTTCGTTTAACCGCATACACTTACTAAGTCTCAAATGTAAGTTTTAGAAAAAAGATGACGAAAGGCAATCATTTTGCTGACATTTTCGTAATGTTTAAAAAACAAGTAATGCAGTTTTTGGTGTCAATATAGTTTTTAGAGGTGAAATCATCTTTTATGATTATATATGCAAACTTTTCACTACACTAGTATCACTGTTCAATGATGCACCGACGTGATCGCTGTATTGTATTACCTTACCCATCCACTTTATTCTCCATTTATTTGTACAGATTTTTCCACCCAAATTCCCCATAATCGGTTCATAAAATCCATAATCGGTTCATAAAATAAAAGAAAGAAAGAAAAGATTTTTTATGTGAACCGAAGTTGTTGAAAAAGAATAGATTGCCTAAACCGTCGGCTGTGAAAATACCATATTTTATTGAAAAATAGCTCATCATTGCTTTTTGTTTTGTAGAGCATTTTGTACGTTAATTCCTGTCTTACTTGCGGTCATAGATGGCCTAACCTGTTAATAAAAAGAACTGAAGTAGTGGAATTCTAGATCCAAAAGTATCCCTCACTGTACTCGCCTTCATCAGCCTTCATCTGCATCCTGGGTCTTTTTCTTTACTATTATTACGACAAATCTTAAAACAACTTTGCTATATTCATTAGCGGCATCTACAGCATCTGCAATAATGTTATCACGAATAACTGTGATTATCTGGATTAGTTCTGGTTTTGCGCCCTCATCTCGCCACACTGTCTGAGGGTGGATGAGGAGACAGAAATGAGTTTACTGCATCCAGTAACAGTTTTCAAACAACCCTAAACATGACAAAGTTGCGAAGTCAAGACTACTGGTTAGTCATGGCTAACAAACGGTTAGCCACTGGTAAAAAAGACAATTACTGAACTGGTTTATAAGCTTAGTTTAGGCAACTGAAATTTCTCTTCAAGATCATTTTGTTGCAAAAAAAAAAGGATGAAATTTTGAAAGAGAAAAAACTTGGTTTTTAAGTCCATGTTGGTCACTCTATTCATAAGATCTTTCTACATAAAAGACCACCGTTCTTCTCTTCAATCTGATGCTGTGTGTAAGCCGGTTTTTTTCTTTTTCTTGATATTCTACTCTGACTTCACTTATCTCACTTTAGTTTATTGGCTTTTTTTCTTCTTCTAATTGCTTATATATTTTACCTTGTGCTTTTTTTCTCCCCCATTCTTTTTTGCTTTTTTGCCCTCTAATAATATGGATTTTCTCAGTTTTTCTGATTAGAGTTCTGCAAACAATTCGTCACTTCGATGTAATACCGGTTCTTTGAATTGCAAATCAATTTTATTTAAATTTAAGCCCTTGTTTACTCCCACGCAAAAGTTTTAACTGGAATTTTAATGGAAATAAACTTTTTAATGGTTTCTGCATGAAAATGTTTTTTCTAAAGGCCGGAAGGTCAAAAATATCTCAAACTTTAGTTACTTTTCCCATCCGATCTGCTGGCATTAATTGAGTATGACATTTTTATTAATGTAAATCCAGTTCGTTCATACATCCATTTAAATGGTCAGAATGCAAGCTGACCGAATAAGGCCGGCTATGTTACGGTATGTATTACATTTTAGACAACCTTGTAAGCTGTTGCTTTCCATTTAAATTGACAATTAATTGAAGAGCTAAGAAGCAATCATCAGCGATGAATGTTCTTCTGTTTCTAGTGAAAAGAGAGAAAAAACCTCTACGTCTATAGATCAGTTATTAACAATTCTATTTTTTTTTTTTATCTGCAAGTTAATTCACAATCCATTTATACCATTTGGCTCTTCAGCTTTTTTCCACTCCCATTAATAAACCGAACAATAAATTTCTGTCTTACTCTCATAGAAGAAAAAGAAAAAAAAAAGAAAAAAAAGAAAACTGGATATTTATTTGGTTTAAGGATGACGTTTACAAATAGACATAGTGATAGTTAGGCAGATAGATATATAGTATAAACAGTGGCCAACCAGAGCGCAACAGCAGCCGCAGCAGCATAGTTGTTTGGTGTTATTATTATTGATTTGTAAACGGCCATCAGCAAAAATTTATACGTATGAAATACTTTTTTTGGTCATTGCTGTCGTCACCGTCGGCAACAGCGATAGCAACAGCAACTGTTGTTATCGCTGTCACCTAACTGGCCAAAATCAACATCAGCCTGGAGTACCAGGAGCAGTCAGCCAACAGTCGTAGAAGACTAGGAAGCTTTGGACATTGATTGAACTAACTACTTCAACCAGTTTTGCCATTTATCAATTGGGGATGATGGACGATACAGCAGAAGAAGAAGAAGAAGAAAAAAGAGGGTCGTTTGTTTGGTTTCGACGACTACAATGGACACACTGTCGCGCGCCGGTTGTTTCCAACACAATTTTCAGTGCCTCCCTTTCATCCCCTTCTCCGCCCTCTGTGCCTTACTCCATCAAATCGTTGAGATTCCCTCCGCTTATGGCCCAATCCTTGAAATTCGGCAAAAAAAAATTTCTTGCTCAGTCTTCTAACAGTTACAGTTACTGTCCAGTTTCATTAAAGTTTTTACTGCTTTTAACTGAAGAATTAGATACTGCCTAAATTGATTCTATCTGTTTTTTTGTCTGTCCATTAGTTTGACCGTTGGTTATACGTATCAACGATCAACGTACATCGCTACCAGTATGATTAACCATATTTATTGTTTCACTGACAGTTCTTTAAAATTTAAAAGGTTGTTTATTAAACAAATAGTGTGGTTCTTTAGCATTGAAAACACATTTTTCTTTTCATTCATTTATCTATTTTTATCTTATACATTACTGCAACTTTTTCCTCTTTTTTCTTTTTTCTTTTCGTAAGAAGAGGATGAAAGGAAAGACTAAGTGATCGGAGTTTGTTTTTTTGAACAGTTCGTTAGCAAGTTGTTTTTTCGATGTATCATTTTTTTCTCCAAGTTGACACTGAAAAAAACTAATGGGAATAAATAGACAAGAAACAACTGGTTAAATGTTTACCGAAAGAAAAAAAAAAATGAAAGAAAGAAAAAGCAAAGATGTTGCCAGCGATAAATTTATTTACATATTTGTTGTCACTTATTTTCAGTTCATTTTTTTCGCATGTCTTCTGCGAGGTTTTGATGCTTAACTTTTATTGACTATTAGTGTTGTTTTTTTCTTTTTTAAAAAAAACTGAAGAGAAAAGATGATTTATTACCAACGTTGCTGTTGACAGTTACATTATTATTTTACATTTTTGTACTGCAACTGTGTCGCATAGATTCTACTTATACAATTGGAGTTAATTTTTTTTCTTTGAGTTCAGAAAATAAATAGAACTTAAATAAAATTTTCTTAGTAAATGACGTAGGACAGTAACACAGTTTGTCTATTCAGCATATGGCTCTCATTCAGAGTTAACTGTTATTTTTGCACCATACTGCTGTTATTGTTCATAGATACTGCTTGTTTTAATTTGTTGGCGACGGAAGAAGTTGTGGCAATTTTTGATAACGATACTGTTGCCTACTTCACTGCAGAAACTTTTTTTTTGGTTTCTGAAGACATTTCAATTATTTAAAGGTATGGCATTAGTTAGGTGGCTTTGGCGGTCTGTCATTGTTACAATATTAGTAGTTGAAGTACACTGCCCTCCGCCAAACAGAGCACCACCCAGCGATTCGAATAATGCCAAAGATCAAGCCGGACAACAACAACAACTTAATCAACAGATTCCTGGCCAAGATGGACAACCACCTCCAAGACCTGTTAGTTTATGCTGTTTATTTTCGTGTTACTCATAGGCAATATTTAGTTCGTTGTTAATGCTTTCTGGAAATAATGAGTTTATGGGCAGGGACTATTTTGTTTTTCCAGGGTTAAATGGACATATTAATTTTGGATACTTAAATTAACTTTTTTTTTCAATGATGCACCACTTTCTTTATGCAATTTAACCGAAGATTTAATAAGCTTCAGCCTGTATTTAAGTCATTTCACACAGTCTTTCAGATCTATGAATTTGCTTATTCAAAATACCTTGAGCAAGTTGTTAGGATACTCGAAAGTGACCCGAAATTTACTGAGAAGTTAAAGTCAATGCCCGAACAGGATATAAAGGTATTTCTTGTAATCATTTATTTGTTTATTTTTTTTGACCGTGTGACAAAACTTTTTTAAGCATGACAGGGAATAGTTATAGAGGAAAAAAATGTGAAGGGAAAGCAAGATTACAATTGGAGAAATGTGCTAGGTTTGCACAGTGTTTGTTAGTCAGTGCATGTTTGGAATGTTTGTTTTATGACTTAAGAGGATATTGAAATATTTTCCGTTGTTAATGAGTCAGTTTCTCGCACGTATGCTAGTGGAATGTTATTCTTTTTTGCTTTTTTTTTTTTGAAGAAATTTTAATTATTTTCCACACCAAGCAGATCATGCATTCAACTTAAGAAAAGTTGATTTTAAGAGCGGGAAAATCGCCGACCATATAGATGACTTGGGTCCCCATGTTTTTGAACAACTTACTAAAGTAAAGTTAGCAGAAATTGAAAGACTTCGAGAAGCTATTGCGAAGCAAATTGAAGCTGATAAAGGCGCTCATAAAGTCAAGGTATTTTTTAATGCAAGTGCTTTTGAGCACTTCTTTTTGGAATACAGCAGATAGTAGTTGATTGGCGATTTTAATATAAGGCTTAACTGCATTTTCACTTCCCAATAAGCAGTTGGAACGCATGGAGTCAGAGCCTTTTATTTCGTTCATAGTTTCTTATTTGTTTTAGGTACCTGAACATATTGACGTGGATAATTGGGAGAGGTTTGGGAAAGAAGATCTAAGAAAGTTGATAAGAAAGGTTTGCTTCTTTGTTTAGCTATTGTAAAGTCAGTAATAAAAACATATTTCTTTTGCGCTTCATTTTCAGACGGTAGCAGACATGGATGAGATTGATCGCCAACGAAAGCAGGAATTCAAAGAGTATGAAATGAGGAAAAAAGCTGAGGCGGATCATAAAATGGTACTTCTTTCAGAAACTCTGATTAGCACAAAATTCCTTAATCAACAGCTTTTTGTCTTCCTTTTTCAGTACTTGTCATTTTGGAGGTTTGGAACTTTTTTTTTTCGGCGACACTAGTTGATGATGGTAGTTCTTTCTTTTTGGAATTGCTTTTAAAGGAGATAAAGCGACAAAAAATTTAATCCTGTTCTTAGTTAGCTTTGGATGTAGTGAAGTCACATTTTGAGGCAAACATGACACCTGAAGAACGTGAAAAGTTCAAAATAGAGCTTGATGCTCGGGAACAGCGTCATAACGAACATGAAAAGGTAAGACATCCAGGAAGCCGTGATCAGCTGGCAGAAGTTTGGGAGGAGTCTGACAAGGTATTTTTTTATTCTGCAATCTAAATTTTTTAAAATTCTCTTTAGTTTTGTTGAAATGTGCTATGAAGTTTTATTAGAGCTTAATAACTGTCAGTCAACTTGAAACTAGTGTCCTTGCCAAATGAGATTCTCTTCAATTTCTTTCTGGTGTATGTTCTACTCCTGTACGACACGCTTCTCGCAGAAGTTCTTTTCATGTTTTGTTCGGCGCAAAATTTGGGATAAGTGAAAATTCGAACTTCTTATAAAGCGAACTGACTTTTTCGGAAAAGAACTAGTTACTTTAATTAGGCTGTAGGAGTTAAGTTCCGGAAGACTTGCCAGTTCGTGCTCTAACTTAGTTCCGCATGCTCTCTTGATTAGCTGCTGACAGTTTGGTTGCAATTTTAATGAAGTTGTTGAATCATTTACAGAATACCTAGTAGCTGTTTTTCGAAACTATGCTGTAATAAAGAGTTCTGGATTTGTTCCAGAAAGCGGCTTTGAAAAATTCCTTTATAGGTTCCAAAATTTAATAGAAAAGTTCTTATAAATTGTCGGCTAGAGCACGCTTAAGCGTAGCGAAAAATGTGTTTG